TGAGATAAAATTCTAGTTAGCAAACTGACAATGTTTAATATACATAAACAAAATAGAGAGGTCTATAAGTAGGATTTACTCCGAATCCTATGCCACTAATCATTTTTTTCAGTCTCAATCCAATGAGCTAGGCCTTAAAATATTTAATAATGAGGGATGAATACAATTACTTAATAAAGAAGGTCAATCTAGCCTACACATGGCATATTAATTAATTAATTGTAAATGCAAACGGTAATAAATTCACATATCGCATACGCATGTATCAAATATAGCCTCAACCATAACAATAACAACTATATGATCAGGCATGCAATACATATCACTGGATATATCACAAGTATACACATCTCAAGATTGTAAAAATAATAACCATGTGCCTTTAAAACATGTTGGACCATAATAATAACAATCATGTGATCGAAACTATAAATACATATCAATACTAGTCTTATATCCTCCTGTTATCTTCGACATAAAATCAATGGCTATCATTGGCTACGTTCACAACTCGAACTAATCCAACTTGTGAGGAGCTACCAAATTAGGGTTAACTCACTCACTTGTGTACCACAATTTCTCCCAATACTAACAAGTATAGGGTACCCCTAATATAGCCTCTTCATGAATCGGTGAAAACTAGTTAAGTTTAAGTCCCTTAAAGAACAAGTGGAATAATCTCGAATCAATCATAAGACAATAGCTATCTCCCAATTCTAACGGTCGGTGCTAAGGCAAACTTTTAATTCTAAAAGGTGAGTTACCAATACCATGTGAATTTACCAATCTACTTCTCTTTCTAGATAAAACTTCCACCAATAATCATACTATATAATAATAAGTTGTATGCCATGCAACACCTATTAACCATATGATAACACGTTCCTATAATTCTCTTTCTCTACTATACTCCACACACCAATATTATATAATAACACATTTTCAATCATCATCGTTTATCACACATGTATAAATATACCTTTTTGCTTTTAACAATTTAACATAACTTCAAACAGTGCCAAAATTGCACCAATTGTTTTTCAAAACACCATACAAGTTTTAAATAATTAAATTCAATAGTAATTAATTAATAAACAACTATACAAACTAGATTTTTCATTGGTTATTTCAAACATTTGAGAGGTCAAAGATTTTCCCTCAAGACACAACTCCCAAAGCTTTCCAAATAGTGTAAATGGTGCTAAAAATTAGATAATCTACAACTAAACATAAGGGCATTTCATTAATTTCCTTCTTGAATAATTTCCAACATTAACCCACCCCTTCAACTCATACAATAGCAAAATCTTCACTTTATATCATACCCATTAAGTTTGCTAAGTTCCAACAATTCACATTGTAATTGATAAACTATTGAACCACCATTAATGGCCATTTAATACTCCCAACTCCCTTAATAAATACTGATTCTCGCTATTAATGGCCCTCAACAATCAACAACTCATAAAACCATAGATGTAGGGTTTGAACACTCTAAACTACTTTTATTATATCCATTTTAATTAACGGGTTTGGACCCATAGCTTATAAGGATCAAAAATTACTCCCCCAACTTAAACCCTAACTTTAACCTTAATGAAAATGGAAGGAAAGGGAAGAGGAAGGCTTAATGGGTATTAGGAAGTTTCAAAATATCCCAATGATCCCCAAATTCATGCCTTAGGAAAGGTAGTAGCGTGCTCTTATTTTTTTCCTTTCCCTTCTCTCTAATTTTTCAAATAAAGCACGATTGATTTAAACAAAAATTTGGTTGTGCACTGCAACACACACAGTCTACACCACAGCACATGACACAGAGAAGCCCACCCTTCATTGGTTGCCTTTATGAGTTGTAACGGATGTTTCTCATACCACGGCATGTGGTACAGAAGACTCTTCTTTAATTCTTCTACACCTTTTAATGTATTGATAGCTTGACTTTGCTTCGGACTAGAATTTAGGGCTAAAATTACAATTAAACACACTTATTAGACCTCTCTGGCCACACACTACATTAATTTATTTAATTATTAATTCAATTGTGCATCGCAGCACATACAGTTCAGACCATAGCGTATGGCACAGAGAGGTCCACCCTTTATTGGTTGCCTTTATGAGCCGCAATGAATGTTTCTCACGCCATGGCATATGATATAGAAGACTCTTCTTCAATTCTTCTACACCTTTTGATGTCCTGATGGCCTGACTTCGCTTCAAACTTGAATTTAGGGCTAAAATTACAATTAAACACATTTATTAAATTTTTCTGGTCACGCACCACATTAATTCATTTAATTATTCTCCCTTACTTAACTAAATGTTGATTAATTTTTCAAGATGTTATAACCTGCACATCCCTAATTACCATCACCATGCAACAATATCTTCAAACCATCCATACTTCATACCCTAGATAGAGCAACATACAATTAATCATGGAAAAAAAGGCTTTGATAAATATACTCCAATGTGATGCAAAGATTGATCTTGACTCTTATTAATTATCAGTACAAATGATATAGTGGTTGGAGATTGTTTTTTTTCTATACAAAAAGGCCACCTTCTTTCAGAGTGATTCATATCATTAATTATCATTACAAATGATAGAGTGGTTGGAGATTGTTTTTTTCATGCAAAAAGGCCACCTTGTTTTAGAATGATTCATATCCATATGAGAACCTTGTGATTAGACATTAATCCATTCACTGTGACAACTTCAATCATAAATTTATCAAAATAAGTTAAAAGAAGTCTTGTGCCATTACAATGACATAGAGATTGATCAATATTCCTTAAAAGCATTATCGATGTCCAACTTTTAAACATAGCTTATGCGGAGCCAATCCAGAGTTATTGATAGTGTTCAAGAACTCAGTTGTATACAAATCATCAAATGAGTTACTATCTTCGGTAGATTTGAAACAGGATCATAACTAAAATACTCAAAAAAATCACCTAGCAACATAAAACACATATAATCATTCAACAGATTCACACTTTTAATTGTTCATAAAGGAATTGCTCTACAATTGAAGTAATTATAATTAGACAACTTATCCAACATGTCTAGGTATGTTGAAGAGATGATTGCATTGATAGAGTCCCTATAACCAACTATCAATGATTCATGGGGGATCTTAATATCTACTATTCTATCATGTGGCAATCCTAACTTACATCAACTACATCCAACAACAATTTAGAAAACCTATCTATCTTATCATAATCATACTTTGATGAAGCATATAACAACCTCATATTCCTTATTAGATTGAAATAATGTAATGAATGCATGAAGAACTGATGCAAGCATTAACAATAGTAGCCCTTATACCTTCAGGAATTACAGGAAGGATTTGACAAAAATCACCACAAACTATAATGCACTTACCATAAAAAATTTGATCATAACGTATTATATCCCTCAATAAATGATCTAAAGCCTTAATACAATATTATTAAACTATTGGATCTTCATCTCATGTGATTTATTTTGTTTATTGAATGAGTTTTGGTAATGGAAAATTCTGCTTGATTGAACAAACAGAAGTTTCAATAATCTGGATTGGAATTTCAAACCTTGAATGATTAGTTCTCCCAAAAGGTAAAAGTGTTGCAGCAATGTCACTTAATGTAATGGTCAAAACAATGTCTCCTTGGGCTCGAAGGGAAGATATCAATGCATTCCACAAACAAGTCTTTCTTGTTTCCACTATACCCATGTATAAAGAAAAAAACACTACTTCAATGAAGTCAAATAATTTGTCCCAGTGTCAAAAATGCCTTTTTGCTCATAATTTAATGAGCTAATTAATTTGATTGACTTTGCTTGTAATGCAACATGGTCATGAGTTAATTCTTGCATAATGACATGCTTTGTGATGTCAACTGCAATATCTGCTTGAGGGAAAGGTATAAGAGGAAAGTTAGGCAAATTCTTTCTCGCAATAATGATTCAATCTCTCTATGTACAACTTATTCATTGTCAAAACTAGATATCTTAAGGTCTATAACAAAAAATACACAATTAAACACGTGTTCAAATCCACCAAAAGAATATTCAAGAAAAAAGTCACCTAACATAACTTACAAATTTCAAATCAGCTTGTGATGTGTGCACCAAATCTTCATAAATAATTTTTGAACATTCCTTCCAAACTACATTAGGACGGCTAAGGCAAACATAATAACATGCTAACAAACATCTTCCTCAACAAAATTTCAGATGACCAAACAACAACCTCTGTTACAACTCATGTTATAAGATGACCCAATAACATGTTATATCTATCTATTTAATAAGCTTACGGATATTTTTTATATTTATTTTTTTAACTACACCTTTATTTCATTTATTGTTCTTTTTGAAAAAAATCACACATTGAAATTCTAATTACTATTATCAAGGCTCTTGTATAGAGTATTTAATGAGGGTATAAATAAAAAGATGTAAACATTTTTAATAATTTAAGATTAAGATTTCAGCTAATATTGTTCGTAAATCATAAATTAGTTAACTATAATTTATATTGTAATTCAGAGGCAGTAATTTTTTTATAATATATTAATGGATACATAAATAAATTAAACCCTAAACTAGCAACACCATAAGTACTAAACTCATATATTGTGTAAATTTGTTCTCAATTTTTTGTAAACGATGCAATTTGGTTCTTGTTGCTAACAAAAATATGTTAATTGACAAAAAAATAGAAAATGACTTCAAAAATTACAAAATAAAGTCCAAAGAATTACAATAAAGTATTTAAAAATATAAATAATGATCCAAAAAATTAGAGAAATTTTTTTTGATCATTTTCTATAATTTTCAAGATCTTTTCTGCCATTTTTTATTAAATAATATTTAAAATTAATTTTTATTAATGATAAAATTAAATTATATGGTTTTTAAAATTTGAGTAAATAATTCCTAATGAATTTAAACCTTAGGAATAGATTTGCTCATTTACTTTATGTCGATTAATTCTTGCATCCCTAGCCCCAGCGAGGCTTACAGGCGCCAGGCGTGATGTGTGTATGCACTCTGCAGAAATAAACGAACGGTCTGGATTGACAATCGACAGAAAAACGAAGGGCTGGAGAGTCAGCAATGATGATGGTGTACGCTTGAGCCGGATTCTCCATCTCTGGACTAGTTGAATTCGATCCTTCATTAACATACGAAACGATCGATCAACTGACTGAGATTAGGGTTGCTTATCGAATGGAGATGGACTACGTGACGGAGTTTCCGCACTCTCATGTGGATCGGCGTCCCAGGAAAAGGCCTAAATTAGCTTGGGAATTTCCTCAAACCCACTCCAAGGTAAAAAAAAAAAAAAAACAAAGAAAAGAAAAGAAAAAGGGCAGAAAGAAACAAAAAAAGCTCTCTCTATTTTGTTATCTAGTCTAGTATTATCTAATATAGCTTCCTTAGATGTTTCTTGGTCTTACCTTTCCAAGAGAAAGCCTTCGGCAAGTTTTTTTTTTTTTTTTAAATCCTTATGGATCTGTTCCTTTTAATGAATATTCTGTATGCAAAGAAAGGAACTTTCTATATTTCTCACTGTATTTCAGTAGGAATTTGGAAAACGGAGGAACTTTAAATCCATCTTGTTGTGATAGAAAGGAACAAAGAACAAATAAGTTCTAGCTCATGTAATAAAGATACCAATTGTGGTTTCAAAAACTCCACATGTTCTATTTATTTTAGGAAAACTTAATTTGGGGTGCGCGAATCGTTAATTTCGAAGCCTTTTTATTTGTCATTTTGTAGTTAAAAAAAATGGAAGGAAGATATTCCATGTTAGTTATGTTATTAGATTTATTCTGACTTATTATCATAAATCTGCGTTGGAGTACTAACGGTTTGACCAGTTAGATTTTGTGTTGGGATAAATTTAAGTGATATATGATATGGATTGAATTTTTGATGCAGTTTCTCTGAGCCCATATTGGTTACATTAGGTGAAAAGGATTTGCCGATTTGAAAATGTCCAAAATGACGCTTAGTAAATTATTAAGCTTTAAAATTTATCGTACATTCAACATTCGATAGAGGTACAATTTATGAAAATGCTGACCTGCTGTATCTCATTAGATAAATAATTTCTTGGCCGGTATGTGAATACTTTACCATCCTGGATGCCTGCCAAAAACAGCAACAGGATGTGGGAATACATTTTTATTTATAAAATTGAGCTTTTACTAGTACAATCTATATAGTTAACCCCACCTGAGATAAGGCTTCTTGTTATTGAGCTTTCACTATGTTTTCTCAATTATCTATGTTTCAAAATTACAATTCATTTTGAATAAAAAAATTGTGGCTTATTGCATACGTTCTTTTGTTTCTATACTATTCTGCAGAAAGATGTTGATTTAAATGATGTAAACATGTATCAAATCTTCAAATTGCTGGAAGTCAAATAGTTTAAGGGGGAAATAAGTATTGAATTGCCGTTTATGTAGTGAAGTATGAGTAAGTGGCTGTCTGTAGGCTTATTCAGGGATGTGTTATGGACAAGAGGTTGTGAATATGACAAGCTTTGGAGCAACAAGGATACTCCCTGACCATGCTGGCCTGTTTGTGAAGGGGTTGGCTGAAAAGGGTTCTCCCCCATGGCGAGATGATGACAAAGATGGACATTACATGTTCGCACTTGGTGACAATTTAACACCTCGATGTAAACACATCTAACCACCATTGAAGGGCCTTCCTCAACTTTCTCTAGTTATTGGACTTGCTTATGTTGTTTACTGAATATTCTAATTGCCACACAAAGACACAACGTGACATACTTTACTAATTCTATGTTGGGCTGGTGCATTTACTATCTGGTAGCATCTTTTCAACACCTACTCCCTGCTTTTAACATTTTCTTATAATTGTATTGGAAATTAATTGTCACTTACAGTATATTTCTTATATATTATTTCATTTGGTTGCATGATTATTCAATCTTATATGGATCCAATCGCCGGTTCAAAATATTTATATCTTCGATATGATTAAATTTTCCATGTGAGTTAATATAACTTAAAAAGCTCATAACGCCTGTCTGAGTAGTAAGTTGTTTGAGATTTATTTCCATATGGATAATATGATCAATTGACATCTTTGTAAGCCTTGACATATTTACACCATTCAATATCATGCTATACAATGTAACTCTTCATCAATCCAACAACTGAATTTTAAGTAATTATCGCATTGGTCCTGGATGCCCAATGGGGAATAATATGTGATAATCGCTGACATTTTCTTATGTTTTATGGCATACCATACATGAATCTAAAAGAAAATTGATAGAGTATGAAATTGTTATTGATTAATGTGAAATTCTATCAGCATGATACTTGTAATTGGATTTATGAGGAATTTATCTAAAAATTCATTTGACGATGTTAGATTGCATTGGTTTTGATGGCTTCATTTGTATAGCTTAATGACCATGTGATCCTCATTTTTGAGTTATTTTCTTTCCTTGCAGATAAGATCCTCCGAAAAATTGGTGAAGGTGGTTGTTATCATTGTCGTGTTTACATATTTTGTTCTTTTATCTTATGGCAAAATTTGTGTTGTAACTTCCCTTACACTAGATGTTCTCTGTTTGCAGGTACTTTTGGTCAGGTTCTGGAATGTTGGGATAGAGAAATGAGGGTGCTGGTGGCAATAAAAGTTGTTCGAAGTATTAAGAAATACCGTGAAGCAGCAATGGTAGAAGTTGATGTGCTTCATTTACTTGGGAAGTATGACAGGAATGGCAGTCGGTAAGCTTATTTTCATTGATACTGTTATCTCTGTCTACTTGGCTACCATCTACGGATTGAAGTTTGTGTTGGCTGTTAAGTCATTTCATCCTTTGCAGCTGTGTTCAAATACAGAACTGGTTTGACTATCGTAACCATATTTGTATTGTGAGTATTCAGTTGACGTACGGTAACATCATTTGCAAACTTAATGAATATATCTGGGGGTTAAGACTTGTCAAATTTAAATGGTCTTGACAGGTATTTGAGATGCTTGGACCAAGCTTATATGATTTTCTACAGAAGAACAATTATCGCCCATTTCCGGTCGATCTTGTCCGTGAGCTAGGCAGACAACTGTTGGAATGTGTAGCATGTGTGTGATTGTTGCTTCCACTGTTTCTATTCTTTCCAAACTTGGTGACAGAAGTCATATAAGTTGCATTCTTCTCTCTTCCTTTGGGAAATTCATTATGGTTTCTGATGTATTTGTTTAGTTGTGTTTTCTTCTAATGTTGAATTCTTTACCCCCAAGAAGACTTTTGTATCTCTTGTCCTAATACTATGATAATAAACCATTCTACTTGTTGTGGAGGGAGAAAGAGATCCCTTCCCAACAGGGGAGTGGGAAGAGTGGGCAGAAGGTGTACAATATTATAATGATTTCATTTGACTATTTCTGAACTTGCAGTTATGCATGATTTAGGTCTGATCCACACCGACTTGAAACCTGAGAACATACTTTTTGTTTCCCCAGAATATGTAAAAGTACCTGACTTCAAGGTATTTTGTGCTTTCATGGTATTTGATTCTTAGATTGTATTTTACTTTTTTTTTTCTGGCTTTGAATATTGGTGCTTGTGCTGCAATTATTAAAATTGTGAAATTTCCATTTCCCACCCTCTCTCCCTTGTTATTTGCAGGTTGCACCCCGGTCACCAAAAGAGGGAACCTTTTATAAGAGGCTGCCAAAGTCAAGCGCTATCAAGGTCATTGATTTTGGCAGCACAGCCTATGAACATCAAGGTCACAACTACATTGTCTCTACTAGGCATTATCGGGCACCTGAGGTTATTCTTGGTACGTTGATATTTCCATTATACACATCCCATTTTTATGATCACAACTACATTGTCTTTCCATAATGTTCAAAATGTAATTTATTTCCTTGTTCAAGGGCTTGGGTGGAGTTTCCCTTGTGACATATGGAGTGTTGGATGCATTTTGGTTGAGTTATGCTCGGTATGTTGATAAACTTGGTAATGAAATTATCTGTGACTGCTCCAAATTATCTTGATGAAGAATGTTATGACCTACAAAATGGTTGCAGGGAGAGGCTTTGTTTCAGACGCATGAGAATTTAGAGCACCTGGCCATGATGGAGAGGGTTTTAGGTCCAATGCCTATGCACGTGTTGAAAAGAGCAGAGTACGTGGCCTTCTGAAGAACTTATTACTTTTTGTTGGTCAATTAATGTTCTGTTTGCCTCCGGGATATTTTCCTAGTAGTTACTAAGGGATTCTGTGTATTGTTATACTGCACAGCCGGCATGCAGAGAAGTTTGTCAGAAGGAGTAGACTGAACTGGCCAGAAGGGGCGGCCTCTCGAGAAAGTATCAAGGCTGTATTGAAGCTACCACGTCTTCCTGTCTGTAAAATGTTTTATTCGCTCAGCTTAATGTCTTCTTTTGTTTGCCTATTTCTGCTCCTATCATCTAATTGTGTTTCATCTTTTCACAGAATCTAGTAATGCAGCATGTGGATCACTCTGCAGGCGATCTAATTGATCTCTTGCAAGGTCTTCTTTGTTTTGACCCCTCCAGTAGATTGACAGCTCATGAGGCGCTCCGGCACCCCTTCTTTACAAAGGAGCATTACCGCAGATTTTGAAATCCAAACCCCACCCCCCTCCCCCACCAAAAAAAAAAAATAGTAGTTTTTTTCCATTTCAGGTGCCATTGCGAGTGGTTGGGTTTCATGTTTGCAAGTGTGTTGTGTTTGGTTATATTTGAGTGATGATGTGTGTTAGTTCTGTGAAAGGTGCTTCATTCGCTCTAATGGCTTGGTGCAAGAGCGAGAGTTTTTCCTCTTATATCAGTCTAGCATTTGTAGATAAAATTCATTGTCTGGGGAATCATCCTCCGCGTCCAATTTTGTACGACCAAAATGTATTGCTTGAGAATTTCATTCCACGGGTCGAGTCTCGTTTTCATGAGGTGGCCTGCTATTTGCTATGCATGATAGGAGGTTTGATTTACATTATTGAATCTAGCCACTGGCCAGTGCAGTAGGTAATGCTGCAGTCTTGAGACATTGTGAATTTGACATGGATTGTCTATTAAACATGATCAACATCAAGAAGGTAGTTGCTATTTGAAAAAGGTATCGCGCATAGATTAGCAAGGTTAACCATTAAATGAGTGTTATTAAAAAGAGGTAAAAATTAGCAAAATCAAATTCCAAATCCGAGGTTGCAGCTTCAGCGTTTCGTCCTACAATTTCTTTTGACGAGAACCCCTCCAGGGGGACGCGTCAGCATGATGGTGCAATAACCATAGAGGTTATAGGAATACCTTAAGATGCGTCCCAACGTGGATCTTGCCCTGAATACTCCCTTCACCTCAAGTATAATTCCGTTGCTCTGGACTTGTTTGACAAGGCGCTGAGTCTCTGCCAACGGGAGCTGAACCTGACTGGTCACCATATGGATGGTCGCAAACCTAGACTCTGCCCTGGCCGCCGAGAATGGCTCCACATATTGTGTAGCGATGAGCGTGCTGCCATAGTAGAGATAGATCATCGTGGTGCTGAAGTCCACGTGCACCTTCTTGTTGGGATTCGTGAAATTTGCGAGCAACGTAACATCGGCATTGAGAAGATAACCCAGGTCCAGGTAGGCAGCATTAAGGCTGGCACTCGACACTTCGAAGTGAGGACTCTGGGGACGAAAAACAAGGTACACTATGAGCACTATCAAGCCTCCTATGATTATTACAAGCCAAAATATCAGACAGAAGATCGCGGCTAACCACGTGAGTGGTTTGGTTCTCCTCTGGTCGGGTACTCGGAACGGGCCATGAGGACGGCCTCGCCGATCAGGGGGGCGTGGCTGTGACGGCGGACCGGCCTGAGGCACGTGAGATTCATCACCCGGCTTAGTTTCGCGAGGTTTGTCGCGCGATGACGGTGGGGTTGAAGGCGGAGGAGCAGGCTTTGTAGTTGTAGGCCTGCGAAGATTGTCGCGGGGTGATAGAGGTGGGGGTGGTGGAGCACGCTTAGTCTTGCGAGATCTGTCGCGGGCTGATAGAGGTGGGGGTTGCGGCACGAGAGAAGGAGAATCACGTGAAGGCTTCTGGGAAGGTTCAGCAATTCTGACCTGTTTTGGGGGGTAAGGCGGTGATGGGTCTTCGCGAGGGAGGAGGGGCCGGTGGGGTGGGAGTCCGGATGGAGGCGGCGAGGGTCTGGTGAAGTGAGGGTTGGTTTCTCGGTGGGACATGGCTGCAGCTTAAGGGGATTAATGCATGGAGCGTAGAAGAAGAGGAGGAGGAGCAGCAGCAGCAGCAGTGACCCCATGAAGAAGCGAAAAACAGAATAAAAAGGGGATGAGGATGACTTGGGGACAACTTCAAGCATGATTAGTGGAAAGGCAAAGAATCAAATCATACATAAGCTGGGATGGTGGGGCAGGCAACCAATGCAGTGCTGTCTCGTGTTTGCTTTGAGCCTTTTGTCTCGGGGACTTGAATGATCAACTCATCAGTGGCCTGTTGTACTAGGAATACACATTGGCTGTGGACAACACTGTTGCAGAATCTAATCTCCTACATGCTCTCTCTCCTTCTCCCTAGTGAAATGAATGCACGACGGATCACAAAATCCTTTTTCATTATTTTCTTAATTATTATTCGACGCCGTTTACGTGACTTTTGTCTTCAGTTTGATTGCTAGTTAGTTTTATTAAAAAAAAACATTATTATTCACCGCCACCATTCTCTGCGATGGTGCCCAAGGGGAAACAAACATGCTGTTTGTTTATTTATTTATTTATTTATTATTATTATTTTGTTTAAAAAAGTATTGAAATCATGCTTGCTCTCAGATTCTCTGGTATCAAATGCCAGAGCCACACTTACTGTATTGAAGTCATTCACCTCCCCAATTTCATCTCGTCTCAATATTTATATATTTTACGTTGAAGTAATATATTTGAATTCTTCCAGGTGGTAATTTTGTTTGTTTTGGCACAGTCCAAGTGGAAATTTTTAATTATTTTTTAAAGAACTTTTCTTACAAGATTACACATGGCCAAGCCCGCATCATTGGGCATGGATCCTTTTGTTGGGTTTCCGTTTTGATCAGGTCCAAACAGTCTACCAAAACTCTTTCCTTTAGCGGCGGCCAACCAAAATCGATTTATCAAGGCAAGCAATTAGCTCGTGATTTAGTCTAATTTTTCGAAGGGACAATTACAAACAAGCACAGCTCAAAAAAATTATTTACAAACAATTATCAATATAAAGTCTTTTTTGGGTTAAAATGAGAATTGAGACTTTTTTTTTTTGAATGATAACTTATTATTGGTTTTTATCCATGAAAAATTTTCTTAAGCTGTTTTTGTATGTGATTTTCCCTATTTCTCATTACCTCATATAAACTTAAAAAAGAAAATTAAGAAAAGTAGGGAGTATAATCCGATTGAACCCATGCCTTTTCTTACAAGAAAAAAATTTAAAAAGTCTTGTCCTTTATTTCACAGTGAGTTAGGTCTTAATATATTTTTGGGTTACATGCCATGAATTCATCAACAGATTTACATCGAACTTTGTCCCCAATTTTTTCCGGAAAAAATCCCTAAATATTTTTCTTCGAAGCTCCTTTCCCCCAAACTTGTGAATACTTGAAAAGCGCTTTGTAGCTCAAATTATAGTAAGGTATGTCTTCTTGGTAAAAACATTTGGACCTGTCTGAATAATTCACTGCCTCACACTTAAAAACAACAACGACAACAACAACAATAATAACAACAAGTGAACTTATGATAGATGTCGTTTGACTCCAATGTATGTTCGGTCAAGAAAACCAAAAGAAAGAAAGATCCAAGTTTATGGATATGATTTTGCTTGAACAGGGACATGATTCACGTGATTTTCTTTGGAACTTTTCAGCCCTCCTCTTTAAAATTTCTTTGACCAGTGCCATTGGCATCATGAAAGCACATTCGGTGCAAACGCATGAAGAGTTAATGGACAAAATCCATTCCGGCAATAAACGATTCAACAATAAAAGCTTGTTTAAGATGTATTCGATTCAAAAACATTTTTCTCGAAGTCTCTTCGGGGTCAAGATTAGAGCATGCCATAAAACCATTGAAAAAATTGAAGGAGGATTTTCATAAAAACCTTCTTAGATGTCATAATTATCTATCTCGCGGTATATCTCTAGCTTCACAGAAGCTCGTAGAGAGAGCGGCGTTATTGGGCAAAATAAGGGTTGTTGCGGGTGCTTGAGATTACTGGGAGGAATTTGGAATTAAATAATGAATTATGGCCCTGATGATGCGAATTAGAGGAAGATAATTCCAACGAGAGGGCTTTGGACTGGACGAGTCATCGTCCATTGTGGACCAGAAAGCATTGCAGCTCCCTCTTGTTGCAGCGTAGCTACCTTTGTTGACCCTAGTTCTCTATTGTTGTCTTGTCTGTCTTCTGTATGTGTGTGTGTAGTTCCAAGCGAGTGTATGAGCATATGCACAAATTTGTCATTTAATTTAAGAATTATATATGTTGCGGATTTTTGACCCGCACCTGATCTCTTACATGTTCAACATCTGGTGGCTGGGAACTCACCGTCTTGTCTCGTCTCGGATCACCGCCCAACCACCAACGAACTTACCTTTTCTCTTTGGGATGATGATGATTTTTCCAAATTAGGGTTCATGGGGTGATGCCGTTTGGTTGTGATTGACGAACACGTGAGTCAATCATCAATGCATTGTGGCGGCTTACCTTCCCCCCTCTCGCGCAATTCCTGTGAATTTTGTCCTCCATGGCTTCTTCCCAACTTATCTCAAAAAAAGTTATTTATTCATCCTCCCATCTTAAATTACAAAACAACTAGAAAAAAAATTACTCATATCAATAATTAAAATGTAATAATAATACTTTACACATTTATTTTTTTAAGATAAATCTAAACTTTTAAAAATACCTTTCATTTAATATAAATTTAAATTTACACACTTACTCATTATATTACAAAAATATTATTGATAAAATCTTATTTTTATTAAATTATCTTATATTTTAAGACACTTAATTTTAAAGATGTTTTATAATTTAGAATGAAAGAAGCATTTGATTAGTAAAAATTTTTTTTATTGACATTAAACATAGAAATCATTGGAAGTACGAGAGATCAGTTGTTGGGAAAATTTAACCTAAATACATGAGAGATGGGTTAAAAAACGCTTATTCTAATTAGTTATTTGGGATAGTCTGAAAACAGTGAAAAAGGATTTTTTTCAACAAAATCTTTATAATTAATTTAGTATTCTTCCAACAATTCAAGCGTTAAAACTTAACTTAAATCATTTTTTTTATTTAATTGTTCATCCCTCAATCTCAATTCTTGATTGTGCATTCAACATAGATAATTTTCTTTGCTTTATTTCCTTCCATCCTCGAAATAAATAACTCGCCATTTTGCGAGCCGGTTTGAGCAGTTAATCCAATTCGTAGACCTTATTTACAACATATATGCCAACTTCGATTATTTCTGTTAACTTCACTCAGGCACCACAATATTATATATTTTGGCTAACACAGACACACACACACACACACACACATCACAAGAGAACTACTGCACAACTATTTCTTTCAATATTAGAATTTAGAAACGTTCCAAGTTTCAATAATCACGGAGACGAACATGTGCTTTGAATTCGTCTACGTCTGCATTCCAACTTCCACACCATGAAAAAACAATTGATAATCAAACATTCCATCTTTTACATCATGTGATGATCAATTTACAGCATTACAGTATGTGGGCTCCAAATCACAAATTAATTTCATTGACTTGCATATCTCATGGAGGCTTTGTTGTTAATATTAATTAGTGTGATCCTATAAAAAATTGAGATGTAAGCTGTACTATTATGATTTATAAATAAATAGTAGAGTTTGTTGAGATTTTTATATTATGAATAAATATGGGAGAGATAGATTTTCTGTAACAAAAAGTCGCGACTTGATGGTTATTAGTCTAAAAAGCTAAATTGCATTTTTCAAATTGTGCGACATTTTATAACTTTTATCTGTTTGTGAATATTACATTGAATCAAGTTCATGAGTTCGATACTTCAATATTTCAAAGGTTTCATCCCACTGCCGAATTATGTCCCTTTTAAATTCGCCGTTTCAGTCATGTTATTTACGCGCTTAACCTTCCAAAATTAACACTTGACCTAATTAATTCTTCTGTGATCATCATTGTCTGAATTATGATTTATCCAAAAACAATACTTGACTGAATAACTAGGGAAAATACAATTGATTTTTGTATATAATCTTTTATAGTTTAATATGTTTTTTAAATTCCAACATGATAATTACAAATCTTTGTATAAATAAGTTGATTTTCTTTTATTAAATCAATACGGCTAAAATTAATTTTAATTTCTTGGAATTTCTGTGTTGCGTGAAAGAGTATGCACGTGTCTGCGTGCTTGAGCGCTCCAATCCAAATTAAGTGCTTCGCTAAATATTTTTTATTTAAAACAATTAAAACACTTTTTGGGGCCATCAAACAATTAAAACACTTAAACATTTTGCATTTGTTCTGATCCGGATGAAGTCTATAAGATATTTATAATTAATTCTTTCTCGCTTTAAATCAAGATATTTATATATTTCTCTCGCAACATTAATTTTTTTTTTGGGCCAGACTCTCTCCCAACATTAGGCCCATACTATTTCTCTTAAATATTATATCATGTTCCCATAGGAAAGAGAGACATGCCCATTCTCAACGTATTCTCATTCTAATTTGGCTTCTTTGCAGTTGTTAATTTAAAAAGGGAAAAAGATCAAAGTTTCAAAACTGCCCTGACGTGGCACTTTGACCCATTCTGTGCTCGTTGTAAGACCATGACCAGAGAGCACTAAGCAAGCAGGCGCACCTGTTCATGCTAATAAGGCAGCAAACTCTGCGTCCACTGAAGAAAATATTGAAACAGTTTCGCTGCTCTTTAATCTCGTCGAGCGTGGGGGAGGAGGTGGCTGCGTTCCAAGGGAGTCTGTCAAAGTTTGCTTTTTTACTTCGTCGTCTTCTATTCATCCGAGATCGCAGGACGGCGAGGGATCGATCATTCTCTTTCCCTAAGCTGTTGGCATATTCGTATTTGATTTTTCCTCTTCCATCACTTCACGAAGAAAGAGTCAAAGAGAGAGAAAGACAAAGAAAGAGAAGATGGTCAAGGGCTTTAGGTGAGAAACTGAGAATATGGAATAGGTAGGCTGAAATTGCAATATCTACCATTTACCGTTTAGTATCGAAGCCCATCTGCTTCTTCAACTCTTCCCTCTTCTCAAGAGGCATAACCTCTTCATGGCTGTCGGTTAAGCTATTGGTACCGTCTTTTTCCATATATTTCGTGAAGATGTTGGGTGAAGAGGGTAAGGACTGTTCCGACGGTGGCGGCGCTCGGAGAACATATTCGCGTTCTGTTTCTTGGACTGATCGGTCTCCGACGAACATTAGCCAAAACCGTCGGCCACCCACAAATAGTAAGCCCCGCCCATTGTTGCCTCCTCTTCAGCCTCTCTCCATCATGAAACGGAGTGCCGAGGAGTGGCCTAGCGCGGGATCTGATGATCTTGGAATTTGGCCTCTTCCACAAACCCCAAGAGGGTCCGTCAAAGCCTTGGAGAGTTCTGATTCGGGTCAACCCACAAAAGAATTTCAGTTCAAGAGGGATAAATTAGCGTTTTTTGACAAGGAGTGTTCCAGAATCGCGGAGCATATATATTTGGGAAGCGATACGGTGGCGAAGAATCACGAGCTTTTGAGGCGAAACGGGATCACTCATGTGCTCAACTGTGTTGGGTTTGTTTGTCCTGAGTATTTCAAAAGCGACTTTGTGTACAAGACACTTTGGCTGCAGGATAGCCCCACGGAGGATATCACCAGTATCCTCTACGACGTGTTTGATTACTTTGAGGATGTCCGGGAGCAACGCGGGCGTGTGCTTGTGCATTGTTGCCAGGGAGTTTCTCGTTCAACCTCTCTGGTCATTGCATATCTCATGTGGAGAGAAGGTCAGAGCTTTGAAGATGCGTTTCAGTATGTGAAGACTGCACGAGGAGTGACCAACCCAAATATGGGGTTTGCTTGTCAACTTCTGCAGTGTCAGAAACGTGTACTTGCTATGCCCGCAAGTCCAAATTCTATTCGTAGGATGTATCGAATGGCCCCTCACTCGCCCTATGACCCTCTTCATTTAGTCCCCAAAATGATAAACCATCCAGGTGCTCGAGCTCTTGATTCTCGAGGAGCGTTCATTATTCATGTTCCTTCTGCTATTTATGTGTGGAGTGGAAAAAATTGCAGTGCGGTGATGTCATGTAATGCAAGGGCTGCAGCATGTCAGGTCATCCGATATGAGAAGGCAAAGGGTCCGATTCAGAGCATCAAAGAAGGTGAAGAGCCCCTGGAGTTTTGGATTGCTCTTGCCAACGAGCAAATCTTGTCAGGCCATGAAAGCGTGGAGATCCCTGAAGCTGATACTAGCATGAGGATTGGTGGGAGAAAAGTTAGTGAATATGATTTGGATTTTGAAATTTTTCACAAGGCGCTTGCTGGCGGGGTTGTTCCACCTTTTTCTGTTTCTAGTGCCGGATCAGAAACTTGCTTACCTGCTAGAGAAAACGGTTGGAGTAGACTGAGGAGGAATTTTGCTCGTGGTATGATGAAAGGATTGTTCACATCATCCTGTAAATGGAACTGTGAAGTTACTATCACCAATTCTGCAGACGAAGAATGCTGTGTGATTATGCAAGAAGGAAACCAAGATTCTGTTGTTGATCCTGATTTGTCACCATCATCATCAATCTATCCCTGCGGTTCACCTGATTCTTTTGAATGTTTTCCAGATAACCGCTCAGACATGGCGAAGGATAGTACTATTGAAGTCATGGATCTCTCTGTTCCTCCCACTCCAGATTCTTTTTCTTGTTTCCTAAGCAACAGCCCAAAATTCAATTCCAAGTCCCCAACGCTCTCACCCTCCAGTTCTGATTATGCCAGTTCATTTACATTTTCACCCTCGTCTACAAATTGGTCTGACTTGTCGCTTGTGTCTTCTAGGCAGCCATCTCCTTCCAGCGTGGAACCAACTGACCCTTTTTATGCCAAAGAACTTTCTTTCTCAGAGAACTCTTCACCTCTCAAAGCTATTTCGCCGCCCAAGGAGGAGGCATTTTATGCCGATCACACATTGGGAGGGGTTGACACCTATTTGCCAAGTAAATGGTCCTCCCCTTCCCTTGCAGAGCGCAGAGGGAGTAATCCTCCACCTCGTATGTTGCTTCCCTCTGTCAACGAATCATCTCACGACCACACCAACCTGGTAAGATCACAGTCATTCTCTTTGCCTGACTTAGATTGTAATGTAATGGGAGGATGCTAGTTTGAAGCAATCTGATCATGAAAACGACGGAGAAGGGCATGGGCCAATGGAACATGCTTGATATTAGTTCAGGTGGTGAATCGCATAGTGAAAATAATGACAGTGATCACAATATGCTACTATGTTATGTGAGATAGAGGTAAAAATTATAGTCATGGGGAAATTAAAGGGATGGAACTAGAACTTGCCTTCTTCCTGTCTTGCCACGGTTGAGACCCAGGAGAGTGACTAATTTTGGAGAAGTTGCAGTCGGTAGTCTGCAGGTTAAAAAAGGTTTACGGATGGCATCTAGGCCATGCATTTATGGCATTCCTAGTACTTATGTAACAATGATTTAATCAAGTGAATATAGAGCCTATCTTCCTCTTTGTTTTTTTGGCAATCTATTTTTCTGATTGAATCCGGCTGTTCGTCACCGGTTCAAGCTCTCGTAAAAGCCCCCATTGCAGGATCTTGACACAGCTGAGTTATTACAGCGCACATTGTTAGTGAATATTATTATCCTTGTTAGATTTTTGCTTCCATTTCAATTTAGATTGCGACAATTTCTTCTGAAACTAACAAATGAGACCGTCGTGTCATTGAATTCATGATTAAACCAGAGAACGGGTCTTACCAATAGGGAATTTCTTTTATTATTTCACTTTAGTCGCCATTTTCACTTTATCTCATTTTTACCACATAATCTCAGGTGACAGCGCCAAAATTGATATTAACTAAGAATTGAATTATGAACCGACTATTATACTTGATTATTTTTTTGGGGGCCAGAGCTATCACACTGGATAACTGTGATGGCATGGAGGCTTGCCATCATAATTAATTGTCGCATATCATTTTTAATTGGCCTGATATCGGCATGAGATAGATACAAGGAAATGGAGCCTTGTGGCTAACCTGTTGGCTTCTATGATGCGAAAAGCGGTTAATTAAACTTCACTGCTCGGTTTTCAGGCGAATTGCATCTAATAAAGTCTTCGAAGGATGGATTATAAGAATAGGCCACCAAACTACTGTCCCACTATTATGATAGAAACAGGATACTTGATATCCGTTGCGGATGATCAGTTGGTTAAATGTACGTCCACGGTAGCAAAATGCATCTAATAATATCTTGAACGGGAACACAAAAGACTATCACACACAGCCCTATTGCTGGCTTGTTCCTCCAAGACCGTTTTGCGCCCTTAAAAGTGCCACCGTCGGACCTAGTGCACTGCATCTCGAAGATCTATGAGACCAGGATCGCGAGCCTGAATTCTGATGTTTATTCCATCCATTCTCCTGAGACAGATTGGCCTTCTTTCTTGTTAGTGCCTCGTTAATTTCATCCCACACGTTTACCTCCCTGTTTTCTGCAAATGGAGGCACATATGACGGAAGTTTAGATCATCAAGCCACACACGTGTTTCCAAACATGAAAATATCTAACATACGAGCGAATTCTATGGCGGGCGTTACCTTTAGCAGGCGTATGACCTTCACTTTCCTTGTGCGGGTGGCAACTTTGCATAGCAATTTGGTCACTCGTAAGTTCGTCACTCCTTTCAGTTGCTTTTGTCAGATCAGCCAAGACATCAACGGAAGTAACTGCATTTGCTAACTCTGCGTTTTCATGCTTAATCATTCGCACATCAACGAGTGATGAATAATCTACCTGGGGAAGGGATATCCTCTTATCAATTTCACACATAAAATGAGCAGCACGCTGGTTGGTTTGTTAGGAAAGAAACGTTCAATTTTAGTATATCGCTCGACATAGTTCTTCATGCGCTGTATGAAATCATTCTCATATTTTAGTATAAGCTGTCCTGCTTAAGACTAATGTGACTTGTCATAGATTTCATTACTTCTGTAGGAGGATCTGCGGTCCATGAAGCAAACTCAACATCTTTTTCACTCTATTTATACTATGCCTCACAAAGGTATTAAAAAAAAAAATATACACATAAATAAATTAGCTTAAGATTGTTAACTCAGGTCAGATACCACAAAATATGATTAGTAGATACGTTACTTTGATTAGCTTTTAAAGTTTGCAATTGTACTGAACATTTGTTACAACTTAATCATATTTTGTGGTGTCTGGTGGTTCAAATAGCAATTTGACAAAGTAGATCTGGGTATTCATTCATTAGAATGCTAAGTGGCATTACCATCAGACAATCTAGATGGTGAGTGTCACACAGAATAGGAAGTGAATAAATCCAAACAAAAAAAAATGCACGATTCGCAGGGTTCAATTTGATGTGCCCTGCTGGCACTAGGCAAGAACTTAAATATTGAATAGATATGGCATGAGCTAATTACCAAAATAACAGCAGAAGTTCCTATGAAAAATACCTCTAAAGAACCATCTTCCCCGTAAGCGGATGAATCGGGCTGCAAAGAAGACACCTCCTCATCTACTTTCTTCCCAAAATCAAATGGATATTCAGGAACTGGTTCCAGCCGAATACTATTTAGTCCAGGATCATACCATGATATCTTCCCTACCTACGGGAACATCGATTTAGTAAACAAAAAACGTGGTATGCAGAAAATTTGTATACTAGTTGAAAGGGAGAATGACAATTGAAGACCTTGTTTGAAAACTAATATAAAATAAAGACCTTTAAGTTGTAAATTCTTGAAATTTCAGTAGTAAATATCTGAAATTTCAGTTATAACAGATTCTTGATATTTTTCAAAGGTCATTATTCGTCATTCTCCCTAGTTGAAAAGTTGCCGCAGTACGTACTCTGAAGGAGGAGATCTCGGGTGTCCATGATGATGATAATTCAATTAATCGATATGCTATGACATCCCCTTCCTGCAGTACATTAACAACGCCATAAAAATGTTATGGAACATGGGTTACTTCTTAACACCAAAGAACAATGATGAGAATCCCCAAGGCAAATAAAATACACTGCCAGGAAAAAGTAAATAAATAGACTTCAACAAACTTCCAGTATTACATTATCTCCCTCTACTGCTTATAACCTCAAGAGCACTATGGAGTTAAAAGAACAAACCTTAGGCAAGCTTGTATAAGATATAAGCTTATCAAAGTCTACGGGCATGAGTGCATCCTTCTCCTCAGCACTCTGAACGCGGGACCACTCTTGACTGGATTGTTTGTACTCATCCACTTTCTGGAATGTGGTCTTCTCTATACCCCATTTCTGCATCTTCTTCTTGTTGGTGGTTCTGTTCCACCTAAATGTTTCCTGAAGCATCCAGATGATATGTCAACACCCAGCAAATATAGCAATCAACGGGCAAAATATCTCCTGATACTAAAAATCACAAAATAAATAGCAAGGAATACACCTTCAAGTTGAAACATTCTGAACACTTTAGTTAGAATCAAAATAAGTACTACATGAACTGTCAAAGGTCAAAGCCTCAATTATCGAAAGGGTAGGAAAATTGAAAAGGGGAAAGGATCAAAGCTATAAATGATTGTGAGGAACAATTTTGATTCATCCAACAAGTAACTCAGGTATATTCATAATTAGTCCTGCCAGCTCCCTCCCACCTCTCTCCATTACTCATCAGCCAAGCAAGACAAACTAGTATAGTATGATTATGAGCAAAATTAATAATTATCACATCAGACTTTATATTGACTCTGTAACAGGGTGAGCAAAACAGTGCCCAGCAAGTCAAGCTTTGTGGAGATGGACAAACCATTGGAAATTGATTTGGGGGAGCTGCATGATCTGCATCAAATAGACCATAAGCATACATCAGAATATGAAAGTCATTCTAAAACAATTCAAGTTTTGCCACAAGAGAAACTTTAAGATTGAGTAGAGAAAGAGAAGAAAAGAAAACTTTTGCCAAGAGGTTCGAAGCGAATGTGCCCTGGCCTAATTTCCACAGCAACAACGTCATCCTCTGCATCACTTTCTTCAACAGGTTCTTGATGTGCATTGGAAGCTATGCTTCTATTATCTTTGACAGGAACTTCTTGCACATTCTTTTCAGACGATGGACTTTGATGGATCTGGACCTTCTAAAAGAATGATAAAATACAGTTGCAAATAATAAATTTTAGGCCCAGTGGTCTACGAGAAAAATAATATGTAGTTTTAATCCTAGTATATAGGAACGCAACATCTATGAAGTAGAATATGGAAAATTAACACTGCACATGAAAAGTGAGTTCCCATTCAACATGGCGTCAAAACAAAACCATTTCTCCACATGCACATAAAAGTCAAATACTGATTCACATCTGCAATGGCTTTTTGGCTTTATGAAACAGGAATACCTTTTCCTTTTGTAATTTTAACCGTTCCCTCAACCGCTGTCTCTGAGCTTTCTTCCGTCGAGCACTTCTGCTAGGCAACTAACAAGAAATAAAAATCAATAGAAACTGTATTCCCAAAAAAAAAAAAAATCAGTAGAAACTGAAGTACATACCAATAAGCCAAATAGTGCATTGATTATCTAGCATTGTACAATTAAAAGGAAACAAGAATTACATTTTAATTTGAAGTAGTGGCAGTTTAAGGTTACCTTTTTAGTTCCAGTAAGTGAATTCGATATATCAACATTGCCCTTGCCATCATCTTGGGCCTGAGAGAACCTTCAAATTAATTAAGAGAAAAAGTTAAAGTCGAATATTTTTTACCATCAATGCAAAAGGAAACAGCATCATTTCACGTAGTGGGAATTAAAAGTTGGATCAGAGCAAGGATTCAACAGGAATAATCTAGCAACAACAAATACTCAAAATGTCAATGTATAATTTCCCTGCTTCACAGGAGAACATCTATCAATCTACAGGATATCCAAATCAACTAGAATTTGAGAGGAATGGATAAAATATCACCAGAAGAAACATTGCAATCATCTGTGACATCTTATCAGCTAATTGTCTTGTTCAAAGAATGGCAGACATTACAATATAGTACAAATTAGAAAAGGATATAACACCCGCCAATTAAGGATGTAACATCATAATGTAACAGATGCATACCTTGCTTCATTGGGCATAGGTTCACTGATTCCATTGCTCTGTTTTTGAATATCGATGGTTTTTGACTTATCTAGCTGGCTAGATAAATTAGAAGGCTCGCCATTGTTCTTGTTGACAAGAATTGATTGGTGATGAATACCGCAACCTTGAAAGCTTCCATTGTTCTCCAAAGATTCCCCAGGAGTGACAGCCAACTTTACACAAGATGATAACTTAATCTTCTTCCTGAATCAAAAAAACAATGAGCTCAAATCAACAACCCTAATACTGTTTAAACTTCCCAAAAAGCATGCTTTTAATACCGAAGTTTGCAACAAGAAAAAATAGTTTGAATGGAAAAGGATATAGGAACTTTATGTTTCAGTATTAGATCAAGTTTAACATGGTTGACAGCGTGATGGAGTTTGAAATCTCCATGACTTGATATGTATATAAAGGAGTCCTTTTTGGTTTTTCTTTTTCAACAGACCAATGCTTAGAAACTAGAAATAAGACAGAGTGCACTGGATGAAGTGACAAGGAAGTGCCAAAACTATGAAGATACTCACAAAGTAAAATAAATGTACAGAGACTTTGAGAACAAATTTCTAATAACCCGAGTTATCAGCATAAAAGGCTCAAGTAACACTGGCTTAAGATCATAAAGCCGAAATTATATGGTTGTCTATTTGACCAAGTGATAGAATTGTTAAAGGTTGTTTAAAACATGGAAGAGAAAGAGGAGATTAAGTGATAGAAGATTATTCATTATAATATTTTTTGTAAATTCAATATTTCCCTTGCAAAAAACATGTAATTGGTGGGTCACAAAAAGAGTTGGGGATTGGTGAAGGGTTAAATACAACACCTTGATTTCCATCATCTCCTTAAATTTGTTTTTCGTTTTCAAATGGCAAGGGCTACTTTATCCAAATTACCTAACATCTGATTTTAAAACTCCTTTGATGCTCAATTACAGAGTAGACAGACAAATAACTGAGTAATGTTGTGGCCGTGATCATGGTCACATAAGATAGTTCAACTAAATTGAACTCAGAAACATCAGGAGGAGAACTTACAGGACTGGACCGCAGCCCTGCACCAACAACAACTAAAGAGGATTGGGAAACAAACCTCGAATCCCTGAGCTTCTTCGTTGCCTTTCTTTTCTTTGAGACTGCATTGTTTGGTGATTTAGATTCAAGATAAACTGTGTCTTTAAATGGGTCAATGTCATCCTCTTCAGACACGGTTTCATATCCTCCAGTCTCCTCTTGAAACTTCTCGTTTGCAAGAAGCTTGGGAAGCTCTACACATAGAAGCCCTTGGGGTGTAGATGTCAGCATTGCAGCTTCAGAAGCAGTAGGTGAGCTTCCTTTTATTTTCACACTGTATAAATAAATGTCAGAAAAAATTACCATGACAACAATATAGAATGTTGGAGAAATGGTTGACCATAAACACACCAGACTATGTCTTTATCCTTCAAAATGGCACGTGATTCAAAAGGCGGTAAAACAAAACCATCCATCTGCAGTAAAGATATTAAAATGAAACATTGTCCAAGTAACAGAATCAATTATCAGAGTATGGGTAAATGAGTATACTCCACAAATTCAGACCGGCTTCAAACAATCTTGCAGCACGTTCGGTTTAATTTCCAGATAGTGTAGGCATTATGCCTAGAAGCTTTATTTTCACAAATTCTTCAGTATCTTAGTTAAATTAAGCTCATTAGAAGTTAACAACGGTAAGCATTCTAGTATTAAATAATAAAATCGAAAATAAATTCGAGTTTTAATCCATTAACTTTAAACGTGGGTAAATATTTTTCTTGAATCACCGCCCCTTTCCTTTTTCTCAAAAAAAAAAAAAAGATCCATATATTCAATCGTTAGAGTCAGACAGTGGGATCCAAAAGGAATATAGCATACGGAGAGGATTATGCCATTGGGGCAAGTCCGATGCAGGTGGAAAGTGTCGAAAATATGGGAGGCTACATCGGAGATGGTGTTGGCTTGGGGTTTTAGCAGACACCAGCTTTGCTGGAGCCCCTCCTTCTTCTTCGACTTGCTCAGCATGTGCTGGTCCTCGAACACCAGTCGAAGTCTCACCGTCTCCGTCATGATCGTTCGCGCAGGGACAACGAAGGACGTTGCAGTAACCGCTGCTTGCCAGTACTCTGCTCTGCTCGGGCTCTTAAACCCTCGCCAAGTCCCTTTTTTTTTTTTTTTTGTGGGACCGAACCTCGTCAACTCACGTCGGTAAATGAGCTGCTGCGTTAGAATTTCTAGCATTTGCTTTTTCTCTGTGTTTTCTCATCTGTAATTGTACCCGCACCATTTTATAATATAAATTAATATTAATAGTATAATTGTATAAATATAGATATAGATTTTGATGGAGGGCATGTGGAAGGAGCTTTTATCAAGTTAAATTGTAAAAGATGTTTAAATGATGTTATAAAAATTTATTAGAGAGAATATGAAAAAGGAAGAGGTGAAAAAATCAATTAAAAATTTTCAATCCCACCTATTCATTATTTTTAAATTAAACTTAGTGAAATTTAGGCTTAAATGCATAAGTATCTTGGAACTTTTTTCACAATGGTACCTGATATCTAGAATTATTTTTAGGTAATGCAGCCCTTATAATTTTAAAATAAATGCAATGTCAACCCACCATTAAATCTAAAGGGCATTGATTATTAAAATAAAATTTAACTAGTGAAATAGTCACCAGGACATGCCTTTTCACTAGTTGGGAATTTTAAGCTAAATTTGGTCTTGATTGACCATGGCTTTTAGGTGAGGCATTACATTTGTCATGTTATTATTATGAAAGAATTTAAACAAGCTAGCAAACAGCACAAAGCGCCTAACACGTGAAGCTTTAATGAGTGCCTCATAAATGTGATCAAACCAAATTTAAAAAGAAACAAGTCAATGTCATAAAAACAAGCACAAGCCATGGTCAAAACCCAAGTAGGAAAAATTGTGAAAAATAGAAAGGAAAGAAAGGAGTTTGAAGATATTTAGAAATTGAACCTAGAAAAGGTAAATCAATGCCTCCGACAAGCTTTTGCTACAATTGTGTATGTGGAATTCAAGGTCAAGCACTGTCTACGACTGTGATATTAGCAATTTCCAATAATCCAGAGGTTACCATGTTCTAATCTCTGGTTATCAAAAACAACATGATCATGGCATTCACTAGGAATGATTGAGGCATTTGATTGGCACACTTGGCACAGCCATGATAATGGACATAGGCATTGTAGGAGGTGATAGTAAACGACAAGTTTCGTTCTGCAAAAATTTTTAATCACTAATCCATTTTTTTAGGATTAAGGGGTAAAAATGTTTTTATAAGTTTTCTCAAATGAGTAGTAAGTACTCTTACTTTTATAAGGAGTAATGTTGCTTCAGAAGTGTTAAAAATAAAGCAATGTTGCCCCTTTTCAATGATTAACTGATGCTGACTAATAGTTGTTTAAAATTGCTCAACGACAGAATAGCTGTGATGCAATGTGGCATTCGAAAGGTGAATTTTTCATTTTCAAACTCTAAAACAAAGAAGAAGGGTTGCGAACAAAGATAAAGAGGAATGATGGCAATAGATATCCTTGCATTCAAGAGGAACTTATAAGTACCATTTGCAGTCAGTATAATAGTTGTAAACAATGTATTTACTGCAAACCCACCTAAGTTGTTGCCATTAGGCAACGTCGAGGTCGCAAAACAAGCTCAAATTCACGTTGTTTAAAAAGGGTGCTTATTGAATTCAATTCAAATTTGATTCCTCTACTTTTGTTAGCCATCATTACCAACTACCTTAGCCGGTTTCATTCCTTCCTCATCACTCGAACTCTTTAAATTAAACCTAAACCAAGTCGTATATTATAAGATTGTTATTCTTATTCTTTTACTCGTCGCGTTCCTTTCTCATGGTAATAGAAATGATCCTCGAAGAATCAAGCAGTGAAAATAAGAAAGAGAGCGACCTACCCCTTTAGTAAGAAGCCTTGATTTGTTAGTGCTATACGAAAAACAAATGCATTATAATCTGAAACTCTGGCTTTTATTGTTTAATCCCTGTGACAAATCTACCATAAATCACCTTGATCAAACTCTTTAACCTTTTTAGTGGTCTATTAAGCGTGGATGAGTTACTTTAGTCCCTTCACTCTCTTTCCAAGCATAAAAGCATGCCTTGTTCTTAATGCTTTGCCTCCTACCGTTTGTTTGTGGGGCATGCGTGAATATATAAAATCATATATAACAAGACTCTTACGCTGTCATAAGTGGTAGCAATGATAGTCTCACCTGAGCAATCGGGTCTCCCAAGTGTGTGGTGTGCCACAACACGTTTGAAGATGGGGAATAAGTTTGACGCCTTATATCCTCAAGTTTTAGTTAAGACCTAAAGTCCATACGATGGTCCACATGACAATTCATAGGTAAAAAAATGCTCAATGAAAATTTCAAAGGTCAACGTTTCTCAAATTAAATAATGGGGTGAAATTATTTCATTTTTTACGCTCCTGAAATAACATTATTCATTTAAAAAGACAAGCGTATTAACTATTTATTTGAAAAAAACTTTTAGGACATATTTACTTTTTTAATCGCTTCTTTTATTTGAAATTAGGGACACTATTATTTAATAAAAAATATTACTATTAGAAAGATCTCAATAAATTTAAAGAATTATCATAATTTGTAAGATTTCATTTTCATCTACAAGTTTCATGGGATTTTTTGTTTTGTCATTTCCCCCGTTTTTTTTTATTATACTATGCGTTTGACAGAAAAAAGAGAATCACGAGAACCGAATTTTACCTCTAGGAATCAAACGAGTTAGAAAACGCACTCCAAGTAGATCTGAAAACCTCATGGACCGGGGGAGAAGCTTGATAAATTATGGTGCATCCGGTACGAGGAAATGATGCAGAGCAGATTGGGAAAGCGGAAGGTGCAAATCTGTTGTACAGCCCGAAGCGGGCCATGGCTGAGCTGAGACACTCCAGCTCACTCGGAAGCCGAGCCTCTTCTTCTCCCTTAAAGCGTGACGGCGATTCATCGCCCCTGATGCCCGATAATCAGCTCCACGACGACGACGAGCGTGACCGTCATGCTTCCAAGGAACGTGATCGTCCCCTCTTCTCTCATTTCCAGCATCTCTGCCCCTTCTTTAACGACGATGCTAGGGTTTCTTTGCATAACTCCAGGATCTCTTTATTTTTGTTTTTCCTTTTAGTTCTCGTCGGGTTGGTCACAGTATTTTCGATTGTGAATAAACTGGTGAGTTATCTGCTTCTGCTGTCTTCTTCATTTTCAGCTGTCGATTTATTTGTCAGTCTACTACTTCTGCATTTGATTAAACCTCTCGCTGGGTTACAGAGAAAAAAATTTGTGGAAAACAAAAGATGACCAAATTGCATTGCCACGCAGCATGCGCTAATTACTAAATGTTACATATTTTTGTTTCTTTGAAAAACAACTGTCACATGACATAAGGCACGCAAGAGGGAGTAAACTCTCTCTCTCTCTCTCTCTCTCCCCCCTTTTTAAAAAAATTATAGGGTGGTACTTGGCCTATACTTGCTGATTAGCTCCCAAAGTAATTCGTGAATTGTTGCCGCAATAAATTTAGTTGTTGTTGTCAAAAGCACTCTCTTGAAATTCACGACTAATTTTGCCTTAAATTTGTTGTAGAATGCCCCTTATTTGTGTAAAAAAGATGGGATTGTTCTTCACTGCCCACATGTAAGCTATCAAGGATTGTCACGTTAGTTATTAATTTGCTCCTTGTATGTTGCCTAATAGTATTTTCCCTTCCTCCCATTACCTTAACCTGTGTTGTACCTTTTTCAGGTCAAAGAATCACCCTCTCTTTGGGAAAATCCTTACTCTGCAACGACATCTTGGAAGCCTTGTGCTGAGCGCCGGGATGGTGTTATTTCAGGTTTTCCAGCCAAACACCCCCTCCCCCCCAATTTTGGGGTATCTTAATGTGTTCTTAGGTTACCATCTCGCCATCATTGGTAAATGCCTATTGCCAACCACGCTGGCAGGGATATTATCAATTAAAGCAATACAATCATTTTTATTCATGGCATTTTAGACTATTTTTGCTCTTATCAACAACATCAATGGACTGTCAATGCATTATTTAATTAAAAAAATAGAATTTGATGAGACGTATGTGTTGTTTCAATTAATGACGGTTCTTTTCTTACACCTTGATGCAATTCTTTGAAAACAAACCTCTCTGTTGCAAGAACACATGCCCAAGAAGGAAGAGTTCTATGCATTAACTATACTTTATAAAGTTATTTACAGATACTTCTTCTTTCATTCTTCTTTTAATATTTCTTATTTGATCCACGCTTCATGTGGTCATGGAATATACTAATTTTAGCCCGTGGCTGTTATCATCACCAATGCCATTTTTATCGTGTTAATACTTTTGCACCTTCATGTAGAACTTCCTCCTGAAAGTGAAACAAGTGGCTATATTTTCATCCATGCTGAAGGTGGTCTAAATCAGCAAAGAATTGCGGTATGACTCAATACCTGTCTATTGTGATAAACTTCAGAATCTCAAGTTTTGTATGTCTATTATTTTTGTTGCATCTATACATTGCATTGTCATTGTTCCTGTGATGTGTTAAGGTCACTGAAAATTTTCTATTATTAAATATTTGAAGCCATTGTTCTTTGAAATAAAAATAATCTCAGTTTTTTTTTCTGTCATAATCTTCATTTTATGGTACAAAGATATATATATATATATATAGGTAATAGAATCCACTGAAGATACTAGTCTAACGGACAGGAAAGAAAAAAGATATAGATGCCTGCTAATTATTTCAAGAAGCCTCTGCATTCCCATTCCAAATAATGGCTTTAACTCAATACCTTTGTTTCCAATATGTTGTGTTGGCAGAACAGCTAGAGTTACCATTTGAAGTTGGTTCTAATGTGCGTTCAGTTTTTGCATGCTATTATATGATGCTGTTGTGCAGTGCAGCTGATGTGGCGACTGTTATTTAGTACATATGGTTTTCAATTCACATGAGACCATGTTTCCAAATGCAGATATGCAATGCAGTGGCTGTTGCAAAAATAATGAATGCCACTCTTATTTTGCCTGTGTTGAAGCAGGACCAGATTTGGAAAGACCAAACGTGAGTTATTGCCAATAGTTTTCTCACCTTTGTGTTTTGATAATCTAACTGCTATTTTCAAAGTTCTAATCTATGCATGAA